GGACGGGATGGGATGGGGGGGGGGACACATTTGCAAAATGTGTCGCCAAAAAGCCCGAGGAAACCCCAGGGAGGAGCCGGCAGCAGCAGGACCCCCGCGAATTCCTTGCAGCACGGCTCCAATTAAGAATTTCCTAGACAGAGCCAATCGGGTCCGATAGCCTCCAACTAGCCTTGTAAATTAGTGGCGGTAATCATTTTTAAACCGCGTCCAGAAAAAAAAAAACCCCACCAAAAAAAAAAGTTCTTGGGCTCGTTAGTTCTTCTTAAAACATTTATTTAATGCATTGTGTAATTACAGAGAAAGACACTGTCCTGAGCACACAAAAGCAGGCTTGGGCATGTCCCGGCAAAGAGACCAAGAGAGGGGTTTTAATTAAAAGTTTTCGGTCCAGCAAAGACTTTGTACTTTACTGAATCTCTCTGAGATGAATACTCATTTTTAGGGATGTCTTTTCAGCGTGAAGCGTTTTCAAGCCTTTATTTAGTTAGTTAGTTAGTTAGTTGTAAGGCTTTATTTTCTTTTTTTTTTTTTTTTTTTTTTTTTTTTTTTTTTGGTCTGCATTAAATAGCTAAGTCTGGCAGCGCTAAGATTAGCCAGAGTTACAGATCACAAAGTTAGCTGGGGCTGGAAGAGGGAATAACTTCTCCAGAGGCAGTGGCAGAAAGGCATGCCTCAGGAAGTGGCATGGCTGAAGAGCAGTTAGTTTTCCCTAACTCGATTCCGTGCCCTTGGAAGTGGGAAATACCTGTAAAAGGCGAGGGAAAAAAAAAAAAAATCTAATAAAGGAAGTTTTTGAAATGTATATGTAAGAGTAAAAAGGAGCTTCCCCCTGCTTCCCACTCCCGGGTTCTCTGCAATGATCAGTGATCTTGAAATAGCGGAAAATTACTGACCAGCTCACCAACCCCTGGGAAAGAGTTGAGTCCACTGATATTTTGGAAAAGTTTACTTCTCTGTTTGAGAAAATGTCTTCTTGAAAGCAGCGTGATAGGATACTGACTCCTGAAGACAAACTGCCTGAGAGTTTCGCTAGATCCGGATCTGGCAGCTATAGATTTTTCTTAATTAAAATAAACAAAGGGCATGCCATGCTAGTCAAACTAACATGAATCACAAACCAAAGTTTATCTTATAGGAGGAAAATCTCAGTGTGCCTCGGGATCTCTTAGGACATACTTTCTTACACAACTTGCTCTATTTCATATAGTGTATTAATGTGGCTTTTACTTTTAAAATCACGGAAGTTGTATATAGGGGTTGTCCAAAATAGTTGTAGCAGCTAAAACGCATGCCTTACGTTGCTGGAAGCTCCTGGGATTTCTGTACGTGATACATAGTTCCCCCTGGAAAGGAAAATCTCTAGAATTCAATTCTGGAGACTTCCAGAAAGGCTCAATTTATACTTGGACTGTGACCTGTGGAACCAATTTGTCAGATTTTCTTCCTGTGGAGTGTTATCTGCCATTGTTCATCCTTCCAGCCAGAGGAAACTGAGGAATATATTTGGAACTCGGGATATGGTCAAGATTATTTTGTAAAAAATGTACCTATTTGTACATATAAACGATGCCTTCTCCATCCCTTCAACATTGTGTTGCAATAGCAAAGCAAATTAACCTGACAGCTACCTGCATTGTTAATGACATTTCAAAAGCTTTCTCCATAGTGATTGCTGCTTTTCAATATATTGAAGTCTTTGAAAGAATGGTTAATTCCATGTGAATACCAGTCTTTTGCAAGGTAATTGAGAAACCTACTATTATGCACTGAAGACAGGGTGTAGGTAGGATTAGATTTATACATCAGCCCCTGGGAAGCATTTCTAGGTATCTAACCAGACATTCAAATTCAATATTTTAATTTTTTTGAATATTTTTAATTAATTTTCTTAGTTAAATGAGAATTTCTTGTTGTGACTTGGACTTGTCCTTAAATTGGTCCGCGCTCTCCAACTAGCCCAAAAAATACAGAGCAGTGCTGAAAATAAGAATGCTCCAGCCCTGAAGAAGAACTGAAATCTTAATTTTTCTGATCGTATTTTCATGCTGGTTTTTTAGTCCCTTAATTAGACATTTTAATGGGAAAGATGAGACTGGCCAGTGTAGTCTTTTGGGTTTAATTATTAGACATCTATTCAAGGGACTCTACGTATATAAAGGACAAGATGTGGTGGATGCTGAGAATTCATTAGACAGCATTTCCACACACGGCTTGATTAAATTGACCGGTTTTGAACAGCTCTGGAGCTTGCCATCTGTGTGCCACCCTGGTGAGTCAGATCACCAACATCAGCTGGCAGCCCGGTTTTGCTGGGTTTTTGAGGAGAGACTGGAGTGTCTCTAACAGTTTGATCTGGAGCCTGTTTTCCCTTTGGAAAAGGCCGATGCGTGACCCCAGGAGGCCCTTGAGCCGAAATGGGGCCAGGAACAAAACCCGAATTTGGAGGCTGCCTCACAAGGCTTGCTGTGCCTTGGAGCTCCACTAGGGAGAACTGTGGTTGTATGAATACTGGAAAGAGAAACTCATTCACCTTTTGCCGGGGTTTTTTGGCTGGCCTTGGGTTTTTGTGGGTTTTTCTTTTGGATTTAGTTTTTTGAGTGGTTTTTGTTGGTTTTTTTTTTTTAATGAATGAATGGGCAGTTGCTATGGCAGCTGTCAGCGCTTCAGGGAAAAAGGTACGGAAAGCACAGGTATTATTCTGAGAAGTGACAACAAATGACCAATGGCAGACCCTTAGCAGCACAGCAGGCACCATCAGTGAGCTACTCGTCCAGCTCTTGGAGTGGTGTCCTGGAGTGGTACCAGGGTAGTGTTTTCCCCAGCTTTTCCTGGATAATTCCAGGCTGTAGGGGCAATAACTGGAACGTAAACCCCAACACACGCACGTAATGAGGGAGTTTTGCTGTTTCCCCATCTGGGTCCAGCAGATTCATATTGCTTTAATGAAGTGCTCTTTCCCACTGCCCAAGAAAGTTCGTGAGTGTTCACCTTGCCAACAAAATAAATATACATCCCTTTAACCCTTCACTACAGGGTAGTGCCGTATTTGGGACATCTTTTGGAGCATTTGATTGCGATCCTTCACCCTTTCTATCCCTTTGGGAGCAGCTTTCCCAGCTGTGGAGGAGGAAGTGGTCTTCTCTGCCTCCCCAGGGAGTCAAAGCCAGGCAGAGTTCAGGGGGAAAGAAAGTAGTAACAGCTAAATTTAGAAAACTGGTGTGAAAAGTAAGACAAGCTAAATACATTTATGTCCTTGAAAACTGAGGAGGAGGAAGGAAGATGCCTGAAGACAGCCTTTTTACTCAGCCTCAGAGGCATAATAACAAGTCTACTTGCAGGGCAGGGCTTATTCCAGAAAAGCTGAATGACCGAGAAGATCTGTCTCCTGTCAGTTTTGAGAAGGAACATCTCATTGTTAGACATGTTGAAGTAGGAAGGAATGTAAATAATTTGGCGTGGAATCTTATATATGCCAGTATGAAATTGAGGAAAAAGTTGTAATTCAGACCAGTTGCTTCCTCTCAGTGGTTTTTTTCATGTTCATTGTTCTCTGCATCTTTTATTTCTGCTGTCGATATGGAGCGGTACATGTAATCTGCAAACTGAACCATAGCTGCTTAGCTGCTTGTGTACACACAGCTTGCTCTATAGCTGAGTGTATATAGTATTTGACATAAAATAGCAAATAGTGGCTTCGTATATTTAAAGTACAAATTAGATCTTTCCCTTTTTAGAAAGAAGATACCCACTCTACAGAACTCATCTTATAAGAACTGAAATGTCCATTTTGTCAAAACTAAACATTTAGAACGTTTTGCCAGATGTGTTGCAGGCAATTTCCTTTCCTGGGAAACAGTAAATTCCCTTACTCAGCCGATCCTGTTTTTATTCCATACAGCATATGACTAAGCTGCTTTGAGAGAGCTGCCTGAATGCCACTAACATTATCTTTCCAATTATCATTTTACTTACAGCTGCACGGCTTCTGTTTGACAGGCAAATGCAGAGATCTTGTGAGATCTCTGATAGAAAAGGAAGCATAAAAGTTTTCAAAGTAATGTAAGAAAATGTTGACTTGGCTTTAGTCTGCTGTCCGCAGACTTTGCCACCTAAAACTTTCAAGATGTTGATTTAGTAGATAAGCAAGTTCTCATTTCAGCAGTTTTCTTGTTTTAGCAAGGGAAAAATGCGTAACGAAATATGTTCAAAATAAAGGCAGAACAATGTAAACAAGTAGGTTTTGGTGCTGCGTTCTTACAGGCATTTTTGATCTACATATATAAATGAAAATGCTGTAGTGTGAGAATATGGAACTTCAAAATCCAATCCAAGATGAAAAATTATCTGAAACTTGGAACAAATAATGAAGTATTTTATATATTCCTGGTATTTACATTCCTCACATTTTGACACTCAATGTCCAGTCCCCACCTTTGGTTCCTGGTACTTTAATATTAGCTTATGGTAGTTCCATTTGCTGGCTTCAAAATATTTTCTTTCACTGGGAGTATTTTAGCATATTTCTCAGGAACAAATGTCAACAAGGACAAGACTCATGAACTTGTAACTTAAAAAACAGGGAACAGGATCTTGGAGCCTACTAGATCTTTAGTCTGAAAATCTTAATCTGTTTTGAAATCCTATACTCTCTTTGAAAGAGAGGAGTGCCAGATTATTATATTTTCTGATAAGGAAAAACTAAATTGTTTTCATCCAGACCCATAGTTCAGTTTTTTAGCACTCCTAAAATTAGTGGTAATATCTTACCAAACGTGCCTCCTTCCCCCACCATTTGCCTTTTTTCCTTTTTATTCAGGCTGAACTTCTCCATCGGTCACTCC